GGCTGAGGTCGAGGGGTTCAGCTGGGAACCCGCCAGCTGGCTTCACGCACGTCTGAGGGTGCCACGGTCTGCCCCGCCCTCACCTGTCCTGGGAACTGCTGGGCGTGGGGACCCAGCAGGGACCGCGGGTGGGGACAGGGGGACAGTGTCCTGAGTGAGGAGCCTGTTTCTGGCAAGTTCTCCTGGGAGGCTCTTCAGACGGCAGATCCGTGATGCCGCTTCCTGAGCCGGGGGCCAGGGCGCGTCTGCTCTGGCCGCCGGCCCTCATTCCTGCCCCACCTGGCAGGCGCCGCCCTGGAATCTGGGAAGCTCAGCGTAGGCCCGAGAGCCGGGAGCTCCTGGGACAAGCCCAGGCGGTGCCTGGCCTGGAGGAGCTGGGAAGGGCGAAGGGTGAAGGAGACCACGGGCGGATGCGGGCAGGGCTCCCCGTGCCCTGCGGGGTCTCGGCGTTGCCCCACGGGTTCACACAGCCGCGGAGAGTGGGCAGCAGTCTGGGTTCTGGTGCTGAGGGCCCGGGTCCCGGGCTGTGCTGCTTTGGGTCTTGGGTGCTGACCCAGATGGGCTGGATGCCGACAGCCCGGTGCTCTCCTCGAGAGTTCTCCGGTCCCTGGCGGACCCCTCGGCCGCCTGCCTCTTCCCGTTTTAGAGATGAGGAAACTGAGGCCCAGCCAGCGGGATTTTGCAACGGGCCATGTTTGCCCTGCAGCTGAGAGGCTGAGCAGCTGGGCCCCGAGTCTGTGGGGCCCCAGGCCTGTTTTTGGGGGGCCCCACCTGCTGGAGCAGAGAGGAGGTGCTGGGGGGCCCCCTCGAGCACCCCCGCGGTCCAGGCCTGGGTGTAGGGCTGGTGCAGTGCGGTCGCAGCCCAGCAGCGCTGGCCCCAGAGGAGGCAGGGAGGGTTCTCCGCGGGAGCTCAAGACTCGGCGCAGCCTGCCACACCTGGGGGTAGCGCAGGGACCCTGAGTCCCCATCCCAGCCTCTGGAACTCTGAGAGGATGCATTTCTGTTGTCCCAGGTCTGTGATGCTTGGTCACAGCCTCCTGGAAATGATACGCGCACCCCCCTCCCCCCACACCGTTACCTGGCACTGTGGCCAGGACACTGGGGCCCCTTGCCTGGCTCCGGTGCACTTCCTACTCCCTGGGGTGCAAGCCAGGGCCCTCCCGCACTGGGCCCCGCCCCTCCTCCTCTGCCCCGCCTCACCTTCCGGTGGCCCCAGTGCCCTTGCCTTCCCGGCTGGCTGCCCCCAGCCACCTTGCCTCGCACTTGGCTGACCCAGGTGCTCCCAGTCCAGCGTCTCCTCCGTCTGACCCCCGTGGTGTCTGCCCCCAGGGCTGGCTTGGAGCACCCAGAGGGGCCTTGTCTTACCCTGTCGGGGCCGGAAGCCCTGCCCACGACATGCAGCGGGGTGTGGGGGGGACTCGGGTGGGGCTGAGCGGGCTCCGGAGGCAGGTCCCCACTTGCGCTGGCCGCGGCTCTGAGCAGGCATGTGGGCCGGCAGGGCCGCTGGCACAGGGGCCCAGGTGTCCCGTGCCCCCGAGGGAAGGAGGGGCTGTGGGCTTCTGGGGGTGGAACATTCTTGGGGAGATAGGCACCCTGCCGCGTCCTGCCCGGGGAGGGGGTTCCCCACGTTGGTGCTGTCTGATGTGCTGGCCATGGGGAAGCTTCCAGCACCCCTCTTCCCAGACAGTGGACCTTCTGTCCTTTAGCTGGGCTCAGGCATGACGGGCGGCCCACCTTTCCCTGGGAGGCGCCCTTCCAGGCCCCGGAAAGCTCCGGGCCCTCGGTGAAGCCCCATCACGAGGCCAGCCCCACACCTGCGGCTCTGACATGCTCGCTTCCGGAGGCCCGGGGCTGCCCCAGCGAGCTGGTCCCCTCGGCCCCGTGGAGACGTCGGAGTGGCCCTGGCCGGTCTGGGCATCACCCGGCTGCAGGCTGGAGGTCCTCCGCTGTGGGGTCTTGTAAATCCTGGCTCCCAGCAGGTAGCCCACAGCCTGGGGGGGGCAGGTTGGGTGGGGTCACTGTCCCCACAGGCCTGGTGAGCCAAGGCCCAGCCACACCCCTGCCCACCAGGCTTGGGGCTCAGCCTCATGCCTCAGGTGAACCTTCCCCAAACTCATGGGTTCCTCTTCCTCACGGCAGGTGGGGGACCGCTGGCCATGCCCCGCCCACCCTCACCTATATTTGCAGACCCCCAGGGAGGGATGTAATGTGCTCAGAGGACACAGGGCAGTTGAACTGTGTCCCCTTCACCAAGCGGGGAAACTGCGGTCCCCGCTGTGGATTCCATTGTTGCCCAGAGTAAGTCGAGGACAGGCTGGGTCCTGGGCAGAAAAGTCAGGTGGCCGTGGGTTCTACACTCTGGAAGCCTGGGCATTGGGGATCAGGAGGAAGAGGAGGAGGAGACAGAGCAGGGGAGGGGCAGCGGGTCTGAGGCCCTGGCAGTCAGGCCCCGCACCCACAGAGGGGCCCTGGCCATCCCCTGCTCCTGCCTCAGACCCAAGGCCCCTGTCCACCCAGCCCAGTGCAGAGTCGACCCCTTTCAAGTGAGCGATTCATTGGCATTTAGAACATTCACCAGCTGTGTGACTGCCGCCTTCCAGAACCTTCCCCTCCCCGAGAGGGAACCCTGGACCCCCTTTCTTCCTCCCTGACCCCCGCCCCCACCCAGCAGCCCCAGGCCATGCCCTGCGTTTGTCCATCCTGGACATTTCTGTCTAGGGCGTCACTGTGTGTGGCCTCTCCTGCCGGCCCGGCTCCTCCCTCTGAGGTCCCTCCGCCCGCAGCGTGTCAGGCTTCACTGCTCCCGGCAGCCACACCGCCTGCCCTCGTGCGGATGGCCTGGGCTGGTTTCTCTGATCGTGCACCGCTGGGCTCGGAGTTGTGTCGCCGTGGCGACTGAAGGCCCGCAGCATGGTGTCCGACAGCCTGACCGCAGCTCTGGGTGGTGCCTGCAGGGGCCTTGCTGGGTCGTGTGGGGGGTTTGAGTTTGCCTGGCTGGAGTGGACAGGGCTGGGGGCGGGCTTCCCCTCGCCGCCCGTCAGCCCGGCCTCGGCTCCGCGTGGCCTCTGCCACCACCTGAGGCAGGGTCCCCGGGGAGTGGCTCGGTGAGGCGTGAGGGCCAGCCTTTGAGCACCAGAGCCTGCACCCCAGGATCGCAGGGGCTGGGGGCCAGTCCTCGCCACAGAACCTGTTCCCTCCAGAAAACGAGGACAGTGCCACCTTGGACGGACCCCGGAAGCCTTGGATGTGCTATGTGCCCGTGGGTGGGGGACACTCCTGGGCCGGTGGCATAAGAGGCCGAGGGTCTAGGGCACCTGTCTCGGGAGCAGGTGCGGACTCTTCCTGAGCAGAGAGCTCCCCAGCTGAGGCCAGACGGCCGGACTCCAGCCCCAGGCACTGAGGGCCCCCGCAGGCACCAGTGCTGACAGATCCGTTCAGCAGACCCCTGGTGGCTGCAGTGTGGGCGACCTGGTACTCCATGTCCTGTCCGAGTTACCACAATGGACAAGAGGTTAAGGGTCGCTGCCCCCCCAGGCTGAAGTGCAGAGTCTGGGCCCCCCTTGGCAGCCCCTCCCCCCACACTGCCCACCGCCCGAAACGATGGAGTCCTTGTGTCTACCCCCCGCCCGCCAGCTGCCTGTACGGCAGGTGCTCAGCAGAGAGGAGCCTGCGGCGTCCGCCGTGCCCCTCCCTGGGCCTGGGCCTGGCTCCTCCGTCTGGGCTGCCGTAGCCTGGGGAGTGGTCTGCCGGGGGCTGCTCATCCGGGAGGGCTTTGAACCCTGCGGGGCAGCCTCCCAGGTGAGCTGGGAAAACACTGGGTCTGAGGCCCTCCCGCCGGCCACTTGCAGAATCTTCCCCAGGCCGGGACCGGCCAGCAGCTGCCGGTGTGCCTCACCCCAGCCACTGCTGGCCCCCAGGTGCTGTGTCCCTGCAGGGCAACCCTGGGCCTTGACCCCTGGGCTGGGCCGACCTCTGTGTGACCCGACTTGGCTTGCTAGGAATTCCCAGAAAATTCCCGACGTAGGCCTTGGCAGGCCGGACTGGAGTTCGCATTCCTGCGGTCCTGAGGGGCTTCCGGTCTCGGCTGGTCCCGTGGTACCGAGGCCCCCCGTGAGCCTGCCTCAGGGTCTTCCAGGGCCCTCCCACAGAAGGACAGGGGCGAGCGCCAATGCGGTTTCGGGGTCTGGGGCTTGGGCCCGGGCTTGCCAGCTGAGGCTGTCGGCCCCGAGGGGCTGCTCCGTGTGGGGGGCCCTCTGACTTCCTGTGTCCACCTGTGGGCTGTGCCAGCACCTGGCTGTCCCCAGCCTGCTGCGTGTCGGGGTCCCTGTTTGCTCTGTACCTGCTTCCAGATCACATTCCCCGTGACATCTGGGAGACTGGCCTTTGGCCTCGGGAGCCTGAGGGGGCAGGGGGCAGAGCCCCCTCCAACCTGGGTGGGCAGCTCGACCGGGGCTGGGGGAGGGCAAGGGCGCCTGGTCGTCCCATCACCCTACACGTGGCCAGGCCACCGAGGGGGCAAGGCGGGGCCCCGTCCCTCCCCGTCCGCAGCCTGAGCCCCACAGGCACGTGGCCTGGGGTCCAGTGCGGCAGGGCAGTGATGCCCCAGTCCCAGCGGGGAGGCACCCACATTCCCGTGGCCACGAGGGCAGGATGCAGGCCAGGGGCGCTGGGGTCTGGGCCCTCCCTGCCTGCTCCTTCCTCACTGGGGGGCCCAGAGGCAGGGCCCCTGTGAGGGAGGCTGTGGCCTCCTCCTGGTCCTAGCACTGGGAGGGAGGCCTGGTGTCCCTGGCGAGCCGAGCCCACAGGTGTTCTCGTCCCTGGGTCCCAGCCACTGGTCCCGGGAGCACGGACGGATCCAGGGACGGTGTGGCTCTGCTGCCACTGGGCTCGCATGCTGGTCGCCCCTCCTGGGGCCGGTCTGGAGGGGCGGGGTCTGCAGCTGTGGGGTGGCCATGGCTGGCAGGTCTCCCCGTGGCGCTCACCGCTTCTCCCCTCTGCAGACGTGAACGAGTGTGCCACCGAAAACGGGGGCTGCGAGGCCCACTGCTGCAACACGGTGGGGGGCTTCTACTGCCGCTGCCCCCCTGGCCGCCAGCTGCAGGGAGACGGCAAGGCCTGCGGAGGTAGGTCCAGGCCGCTGCCCCGCCCCCCCCACAGCCACCGCCTGGCCGCAGCCTCCCCGCTTGGCTGTTGCTGAAGGTGGCCTCCCACCCACCCGGGGCTCCTCCGAGGGGGGCTGGGTGGGGTCCCAGGTGGTGCCCAGTCCTTGGGGTCCTCCCAGCCTGACTCACCTTCCACACCTTAGGGGTCCACGTGTCTCCTGAAATGAGGTGGGGGACTCAGAAACCCAGTATGGGTGGGGCGCCCTCTGGGCTCTGCAGGGTGGCCTGCGGATCTGCCTGGGGCTAAGAGGACGCAAGTAGAAAGGGTGAGGGGGCAGGTGGCCAAGCACGGGGCCCATGAGGGAGGGAGCGGCTGCGTGCTGGGCGTGTTCGAGGGCCCCCAGGGGCACTTGGCGGTCTGGAGGCACCCACGAGCTCTGGGCACATCCCGGGCCCAGGCCTGCCACTGAGCGTGGCTGTCAGCAAAATCAAGGGCAGACAGAAAATTCCAGAGAGAACAGAGAGGAGGGAGGGCGGCTGGGAGGCACAGATTAGGGCCGAGGTGGGAAGAAGGCGGGGGCAGCCGAGGTGTGGACACTCCTTCACCTGCCACAGCTCCCGCCTGGCACCCGGCTGGGCCGCTGTTCCTCGGGCAGCAGTCGCCGTCCCCCCCCAAGCTTCCTTCCCCAAAGAGAGCAGTCTGCAGCTGTGCAGCTCCAGCTGCGAGCCGTCTGTCTGTCGGAGGTGGGGCGGGGCGGGGGAGCGCCCGCTGGACCAGAGTCTGGGAGCTGGGGTCTGCTTGGCCGAGGTGTCCGGGAGGCGAGGCTCGTGTGCCGAGGTCTCCGAGGCGGCTGGAGGCGGGGGCGGGGGAGCAGCGGGGAGGCCTCCTCGACCCCGTGCTCAGGCCCCAGCACCTGGGGACCTCGTGTCTGTGGGGGTGCAGGAGCCAGGGCTCATTGACAGCAGAGTGGCTGCACATCAACCGCCCAAGCTGCGGCCTTGGCCTTGGTCTCCTGCCTGCACACTGAGCCGGGTTGGGATACAGAGCCCACCGATGCCTGTCCCCCGTCCCCAGGGCAGGGGAGATGGTGGAGGACAGGAGTGCCCCTCCTTAGACCCTGGGTGGGAGGGGTGCCCCTGCTTCCAGGACCCCCCAAACCGGTGCCTTCTAAAGTGGGGGGACCACGCTGGTGTAGGCGATGAACTGAGGGGCCTAGGGCAGGCTCCCCGTGACTGTCAGACACCCGACCCCTTGGCCCAGGGTGCCCACGGGTGGGATGGGACCTCCCGTGACACGAGCCCCCGCCCTCTGAGGTCTCCTGGGCACCGACACACTGGAGGTGTCCTCAGAGGACCCTGGCCCATGTCCCATCGGCTGCAGGCACACTGCCCGACCTCGTGGGCTGGCCTCAGGTTTCCCATGTCCTGTCCCTCTCATTCCTCAGCCACCGTGCCCTGCTCAGACCTGTGGGGCATGCACCCCCATCCCCGCTGGCGTCCAGGGCCTCTGGCTCTCCCATGAAGTCTTGTGCCAGGCCCTGGGGGGGCGGTGCTGGGCTGCTCCAGGGGGTCCTCCCGACTTGGGTTCTGTGCTCCCGGTGCTGGCCGGCCACACGCCTGCAGGTTCTGGGCGGTAAGTCCACAGCTTGGCCACCGGCCCAGGTGGGCAAATTGGTCTCGACTGCATCTCTGTAGGAGGAGTCGGAACCCCTTGGCCTGGAAGATCCCTGAGGACAGAGGGGCGGCCACCCTCCAGCAGAGTTGGCTGAGGGTGGGCTGCAGATGAGCTGACCGGGGCGGGGGCCAGACAGAGGCCATGGCTTCAGCCCAGCATGCCGCTGCAAGGGCCCGCCCTGCCCCGGCCTCGGCCCCCAGGAGCTAGTTGGCCCAGCTCTGCATGTTTGGGATGGCTGGGGCCCGAGTCACCGCGTGGCGAGAGGGCTCTGCCGGGAGCCAAGCGCCTGTGCTGTGTGCGCTCTGTCCCCCTGCAAGCCCAGCCTCCCCTGGACCGTGTGGGGCGGCCGCCGGCCACGTACGAGCAGAGCCGACAAGAAATCAAGAAGTGGCTGCCAGGGAAGACGGCTCACTCCCTCACTGGGTGGCTCCGTGGGGAGGCCAGTGCACGGGGTTGACGCCGGGGTGAGCCCAGACCCTGCTCGGAGGGATGAGTCGACGCCCTGCAACCCCAGCGCTGGCCTTGGCCCTCGCTCCTGGTGCGGTGCCAGCCCGGCGTGAGCGCTGTGTTCCAGGAGACGGTCCTCCAGCAGGAGCCATGCGCTTGCTCGGCCGGGCAGCCCCAGGGCGGGCGCAGCTTCTCCCGGGCGAGGCTGCACTCCCCAGGAGGCCCCGAGGCAGGCTCCAGTCTGTGGCTCACCTCGGGCAGATGGCGGGCCCAGGGGAGACAAGGGGGCTCCCCAACAAGGCATATTCTGGCTGCCCGGCCTCCACATCAGCCCCGCTGGGGCAGCCACTGCAGACTGTGGCATCACCGAGCCCCTTGGATGAGTAACTCTGAACCTCTGTCTCTTCATATGGAAAACAGAATGAGTCACAGTCTTGCCCCTTAGGGCCCCGGAGGGGATTCCAGGGAGAAGCCTTGGGTACCATGGCCCAGCACCTGCTGCAGGCTCCCAGCCCCCAGCCGACTTCAGGGGGCACGGAGTGGAGAGGGGCTGCCTCAGCCTGACCCATCCCCTGCTTCCACCTTGGGGCACTCTCTTCTCCTGACCAAGGTCCTCGGGGTTAGGGTTAGGCCGTGGGTCAGGCTGTAGGACCCTGGCAGGTCCCCACACCACCCAGGGTCCCCTTGCTCCCTCACCCCACATCATCTGACCATGTGGCAGGGGCGGGCCGTCCGGCCTGTGAGTGCCCGTCTGAGAGTCGGCCGCAGTCTGACCCGGGCCAGACGGTGCGGCCCGAGGAGCCCGTTGTCACTGGGGTGGGGGGAGCTTCAGTCCTCCTCCAAGGGAGATGGCAGTGCTGCCCTCTGGTCTGGAGAAAACCCGGGTGTCCCCTTCCATGGCCGGGGCCTCCGGGTCCAGGCTGCCTTCCCACGCTGGGGGTGGAATTCTGCCCGAGACCCTGCTGAGCCCTCCTTCCAGGAGATAAGGAGGGGCCTGGGAAAGCGGGCAGCGGGTACTGCCAGGCGGGGGCAGCGCAGGGAGGGGCTTCCGTCTGCTGAAATGCTCAGCCCAACAGGAAAGCAGCCCTCTTTCCTGGGGTGCCCGCATTCCCCCACCGGGTTCCTCCTTGGTTGCGGAGGTGTCCAGGGCAGGCTGGGGTCTTCACCGAGGTGTATGTGTAGGCCGTGGGGGTCCTAGCCCTCAGCCCTGCAGGGGCTTTGCCGTCTGCTCTAAGCAGGGGGGCCTGCGGCCCCGTCCCTTGGGGCCTCCCTCCCCAGGAGCAGCGACGGAGACCTTGTATGAGGCGTGTGTGTTCAGGTCGCCCGGGCCTGGGAAGCCGCTCACCCGCCCCCACGGGCCCCAGCTGTCAGGGGCTCCAGCCTGGTCTCCATCGTCTGGGAAAGCAGCCGGGTGACTGACAAAGTCTCCTGTCTCACCCCCGGCCTGGCTGGGAGGAGGCAGCCGCCAGGGCCTCTCTGTCCCCAGGGGAAAGCAGGAAGGTGGGAAGTGACAGGCTGTGATAAGGACGCCTCGGGCTCCGGCTGGGTCAGGAGGGCTGAGAGCTGACTCCGGCCAGCTGTGCTGTCCTGTGGTGCCGGGCTGGCTGGGAGGGGGCGAGGGAAGCTGCCAGGGGCCCTCAAGTGCTCCCCTCCCCCGTCTCTGACCCAGGCTGGAGCGGTGGCCCACAGGCTCTTGCAGCATCTGGGGAGGCCGGTGTGGACTGGGGCCTTTTGGAGGCCAAGCCCCGGCCTCGTTCCCAACAAGGTCCTGGTGGGGCTTCTCTGGGCCGTGTCCTCTGGCTGGCGGTCCTCCGCAGGCTGTCCTCCCGCGCCTTCCAGGCAGGACGGCGGTTTCCAGCGAGGCGTCTGCGGCGGGGCCTCCCGATCAGAGGTGCTGAGAGTGAAAAGCTTTCATTTCCTGCCTCTGGCTGAGTTCATTGCGCGAGTGAGCAGCCTCTGGCAGGTTCATGCTTGGTTAAGGCCAAGGCGGGAACAGTAATAGCCTCCAACGTCAGCAGTCGGAGCCGGCGGTGACGGAGAGACCAGAGGCTGCCCCGCAGGCCCGCCCTGACCCCCACGGCCCGGCGCTGGGCCGGCTCCCAGGAGGAGACCCCAAGGTGGGCGTCTGCGGCCGTCGGAATCCCACAGGCAGCTGCGGGACCTGCAGCTCTAGGCCAGTGTGTGGGGGACACAGTGGGACTGGGGTGTCAGCAGGTGGCTTCCCACTCCGAGCCCCGACCTGGCACCTCCCGCCGGCCTCCAGCCTCCTGGCTTGGCTCTCCTGCTGTGTCCCCTCACCGAGTCTCATCTCTGTCCCTTCTGTCTGTTGCCATAGCTGTGCTTTCCCCGCTGGCCCCGGGACCCTGCCTCTTCCCCAGGCTCCCCTGGCTGGTGGGTCTGGGCCGGGCCCCCCATTGCTCCCTAGTTCCCAGGGTCTGGCCGCAGCAGCTCTGTGGTGGGGAGGGGAGGGGTGGGAGGGGTGTCAGCAGGCTGCAGAGTGGGGAGCCTGCCCTGCCTCCCGGCGAGGATACGAGGTGTCCGTGCTAACGAGGCCCACGAGGCTGGTGCATCTCAGGTTCAAGTTGGAGGGCTGGATGCTCGGCAGCCTCCTCCTGGTGGAACCGGGGAGTCCTGTGGTCTTAGAAGTGGCCTCTCGACATTGTACATGGATGGCATCTGTCCCTGAGCTCAGTCTATGCAGCAGGTGGCCTTGGGGACCTGTGGGGTGTCACGGCTGGCCAGCCCTGCCAGCTTCGAACTTGGGCACCCTGGGAGGAAGCGTCAGTGCTGGCTGACCGGGCCCTCAGCCAAAGCCAGCTGCCACCGCTGTGACCCAGCGTCCTGTGACTGGGTTCGGCCTTCAGGCGGGAGGGGCCAGCGTGGGGGTGGTGTCTGAGGG